TACATTGTCATCTATGGGAGTTTAATTGTAGTACGAGACCTGTACATTGTCATCTATGAGAAATTTAATTATAGTACGAGACCTGTACATTGTCATCTATGGGGAGTTTAATTGTAGTATAAGGTCTGTACAATGTCATCTATGGGAGTTTAATTGTAGCACGAGACTGTACATTGTCACCTATGGGGAGTTTTATTGTAGTATGAGACTGTACATTGTCACCTATGGGGAGTTTAATTGTAGTATGAGACTGTACATTGTCTCCTATGGGTAGTTTTATTGTAGTATGAGAATGTACATTGTCACCTATGGGGAGTTTAATTGTAGTATGAGACATGTACATTGTCATCTATGAGAAGTTTAATTGTAGTATGAGACCTGTACAATGTCATCTATGGGAGTTTAATTGTAGTACGAGACCTGTACATTGTCATCTATGGGGAGTTTAATTGTAGTATGAGACCTGTACATTGTCATCTATGAGAAGTTTAATTGTAGTATGAGACCTGTACACTGTCATCTATGGGAGTTTAAGTGTAGTACGAGACTTGTACATTGTCATCTATGAGAAGTTTAATTGTAGTATGGGACCTGTACAATGTCATCTATGGGGAGTTTAATTGTAGTACGAGACCTGTACAATGTCATCTTTGTGAAGTTTAATTGCAGTACGAGACCTGTACAATGTCATCTATGGGGAGTTTAATTGTAGTACGAGACCTGTACAATGTCATCTATGGGAGTTTAATTGTAGTACGAGACCTGTACAATGTCATCTATGGGAGTTTAATTGTAGTATGAGATTGTACATTGTCGTCTATGGGGAGTTTAATTGTAGTACGAGACCTGTACATTGTCATCTACGGGGAGTTTAATTGAAGTATGAGACAAGTACACTGTCATCTATGGCGAGTTTAATAGTAGTATGGGTCTTCTACAATGTCGTCAATGAGAGGGTCTAATTGTAGTGTGAGACCTGTACATTGTTATCCGGCACGTGAGTAAGTGACGTAATGTGAAAGCATTCCAAGTTCTGTTATACGTGAGCCTGCCTGCAATTGTTGAGCTGCAGTAACGTCACATTCATTCAGCCTCCTACCAAGACATGGCATGGCTCTTGCATTCTATTTTTGTGAAAGGTGATAACTAACGAAATTTTTTTTTCGAGCAAATTTTGAAAGTAAGAAAAAAACCTTCTTTACAAGGAAAATGAAACTAAATGTACCTTCACAAAGACTGAAGACCGACACGAGAAGAGGCGGGAACCAGCCAAGCACTGTACTTGCATTAACGGTAAAAACAGAATAATCTACCACTTTCACCACTGGCGTCGCCCTGTTCTGCCAATAAACACAATGGCTTACAATGTATTCGTTCTGTTCATAATGTTAAAGTTGGTGGAAGTGGGAAACGCATCAATTTATTGTGTTGTGCTGAGCATGGCAACGTGCATGTGTAGTTATGAAGGTGGTTTAATACGGGGATATATATTACGCCTCGAGATCGCAACTGTAAGATATGTTTAAGATGTCAGTATGTACAAATACACTAGGAGAAAACGTTGGACGGACGTTTCGACCGCGTTTTTTTTTTCAATGGCAGACGTTGCGTCCACGGACGTTGATGTTTTTAAAATGATTTCAAATAACGTATTTTTGAGTTTTTGTATATCATCGGCGTTAATTTTTAAACACTTATTAGTAAATGAATATTCCCTTTTAATTTGCGATGTTCAAAATGTACATGATACTCTGAGCTTAAAGGGCGACAGTCGTCGCGCTGCGCATGTGCAACGTTTGTGTTGATAAACATTGGGCTGACCACCACAAATGATATGATTAACTCAACTGATATAATCACAGGAAGCCCAGGAACTACGATCAACTGTACGCACTCCCTGTGTCGGGGGGGGGGGTATCGACTGGTATCTAGTGTAAGAAATAGACAAGGGATGAAGGCTCCAGCGAACTCATATTTTTTAAACTTGAAAAAACAGACGAACAGAATGAAAAATAAAATCTACAAAAAATACCAGGTTGAAGAATATTAGTTGCTCTTTCAAATTTCGTCAAAGTCTTACCTATATTTTACCTATACCTGCAGAATAAATCAAGAAAACTACACAAATTGACTCCATTTATGAATAATTAACGTTTGGCCCGAACGCACGGCACAGTTGGAAGCGAAGAACCAATCACAAGACTGGTACGAACCAGTTGAGCAAGGCTAACCGAGTCGTAACCTCCATGTGGTTTGTAACCAGTCTTGTGATTGGTTGTTGACAAATATTGAACAGGCCACGCCTCCAACTGTGCCGTGCGTTACGAGCAGCCATTGGTTGATTAGTGACATGAGACCTATAGCGCACGCACTCTATGCCAAGGACCACAGCATGTGCATTAAATAGGAACGTTTGATGGTCCATACTTACACCCCCGACTTCGTCTTGCAAACTGTCACTCGTACGTTGATTTTTGTCAGAGATGCAATGACCTTACGCCCATTTTAAAATTGTAAATTGTATTGGGGAATGCGCAATAACGTTTAATAGCGGAAATGTCAATAATCGGAAAATGGAAATTGTTGAGCACAGGCAAGTAAAAAATGACGAAAAAAAGTCGCCATAACGACCAACAAGATGGTGTGTGTATATGGGTGGTCGGGGTCTTCTTGGCCTAGATTTACGATTTAGGTAAACGTGTTTCCTGAAGGACATATGACAAAGGGTTAATCAACTAGAATGAACAGCATCAGATTAAGACAATATGTAGGCTGGTGCCAGTACCTCCCGCCGGTAATTCTTACTTGTATCAGCCGGTTTCGCCGGAGGTGGTCATTATATCCACATATAAGATAATTTACTGTTCTATAAATACCCACGGAAACCTGATTTATAGCTATCAGAATTCACGATACTACATTTTCCGGAACACTACTTTTCACAAACGTGGAAACCAGTATGACTGACGTTAATATCATGGACGCCATTGTTTTGCTGACGAAAAAGTACTGTGAATTGCATAACAACGGTAACATGGATGGACTGATGAAGATGTACACAAAAGACTGTACGATACTGGCACCGGGTAAAGGCGTGCTAACCGGCCGAACAGGTAAGACAGGTATCGGTGTTGGCGATCGCAATGTCGATCTCCCTGAAACCAAACGGTATGGTATGTCGCAGTAGTCGACTTCGTTGTGATTGCGTTCTGAGACGGGTGGAGCTGTTGTTTGATTCCAAAGTGTTGGGTGCCATACCTTATATAATAAGTATTCTAAAATTGCAAACTTCAGCCTAATGTTTAAGAGTTTTTTTTTTATTTATTTGTAGTAAATTTAGAACATACACTGGTACACACACAGAACATTACATCAAAATGAAGCAATGACCGCTTGTCTGGGACCCCAAGTTTCTGGCAATTTTTAACTAATTTGAAATGCGCCATACAATTATTTATGTTCAATCCACTTTTTCAAATTAACACAGACTACCACGACAAAATATGCAACTGATGATACTCCTGCTCAAAAGTTACATCAACTACAGTTACTCTACAGAGGGCCTGTGTGTTAACACATTCGGTAAAAGAAATACTCGTACCTCAGACTCAATTACCAAGAAAATATCTAGCCTGGGAAATTATATAGCGGGAAAAGTTATAAAAGTTCGAATTGCTAATTATAATAAGAGGCAGAATGCTGTACCTTAGTTTATAAACATATTTTTGCATAATTTGCGAATACCGATCATCAGCTTTCATCAAATTCAAATATTTAACATTGATTAATTGGCTCGAGAGCGCCTTACTGTCTAAGCCCCATAATGCGCACACGAGTCTTCAAGTGACGTAGCAAATGCGACGGCCCACTTATTCAAAATGGCGAGCTTGATGATATTGAACTACTAGCGCATTCATATTCATATTAATTAGAATTCGCGACGACGTCGCCATATCGTTTCTGGATTGGTCAATTTTGAATTCTACCAGTATTCATGTTTGATTTCATGTTTGATTTAGTAAAAATTAAAAATAATAAATCCAACTAATTTCACCTGTCTAACGAATACAACTCCTAATTATATCAGTGTACATTGGCCGTCATCGATTCCACCACGAGATTTGGAGTGGCAGCGTCAATGTGACATGATAGTAAAGTCACATCGCGAAAAGATAGATTATGTTGACAATATTCGACTGTATTCAATAACCCTGGCGGGAGGGAGTGTGCTGAACAATACTGAACAATGTATGCTTCGATTCACAGATTTACCCAAGGTTTGCGGAGGCACAGCACAACTCAGCATCGACGTGGACGAGATCGGCGGAGGCGGTGATGTGGTCTTCTGTATAAAGCGTAGTAGCCTTCGCAAAGCGGACGGTACTGTCGTCGCTGGTAAAGGTCTGTGTATCTGGAAAAAAGTGCATGGCGAATACTTATTATATGTTGATTGCTGGAACGCCAACTAAAATATGAAACAATATAAGACACCCGCGTCACTGTTACGTAATAGTCGAATATTCTTACAGAATAACTTTTTTTTCATAGAATGTAGTCAGAATGATGATATATACAGCGATACTAACAAGTTCATTTCACACACAATCCAGACAAAATGATGGAACTGACTAGGCCGGTACCACCCGCCCTTCCTAGAATTTCTCACGCCACGATCAGCTACTGTCGCGCCACGCATGTGCGAGATATGTGATCCTAAACTTTGATTTCCATACAATTTATTGCGATTTAACTAGAACTTGGCAACATTTCGTTTTGTACTCATTGATCTGCGCAACACTCAAAGTCACCATCTTGTTCGCATGGGTCTCATATCTTGCGCATGCGTGACACGACTGTCACCACTCCTTAAAACGCAGTATCACTGATCCCCAGTATGTCGATGTCATTTGTAAATTTAGTAAAATAAATTTGGTCTTCAGTATTGATGTTCCTTAGTTTTATTACTGTGAGTGAAATTGAAAACTGTGTTGTAGTTTTTTAAAAAAAAGGAAAATTGAGAGTGCAGCACCGGAAGAAATGTCACTGTTACTCTGACCATGGTCACAAGCCCAATTTGTACCTTGATGTTTTGATTGACAAAGAGTTTATATTCAAAAGACATTTCAATTACCCTG